ACGATGGGTTTCTAGAAAAAAAGTGGAATGATCTGGAAGTAGCAATAAAGAAGAAGAGGACATCTATCCCATCTCCAGACCCACTGATGTGAGGGTTACCACAGAAACCCTGTGGCGGGAGGACCCCACAGGAGAGGGGCAAGAGGGAAAGTGGTGCCGAGGGGAAAAGGCGTCTTTTCCCCTCGCCTGGGATGACAAAGTGAATGACAGCAGACTTTGCCAGTGACGGACCCTGAATTCCAGAGGACACAGTGGACGGGCTCCGAGAGTTCAGGTGGGATGCAGGAAACAGGACAGCAGTTATACAGAACCTTAAGGGAGGTGAGAGCGACCTGTGAGCCTGGGCAGCTTCCTGGGGTGAGTGACGTAAATGGTGTTAGATCCAGGGATCCGAGGCAAACAGTGATGGTAAAGGAGGGGGCAGTTTAGGTCCTTTTTTTATACCACTGAGGATGGGGAGATCATGACCGGGGGAACATGTGGTGGTCATGCCCTGCGCAGGACTCCTGGTAACCCCAAGTGACAGCGGTGGATTAATGTTTATAAATTACAAGGAGTAATAATATTTCGGAATCTCCCAATTATTTTGTACTAACAGTCTGATCCTACTCAAAATCCAAGAGAAGTTAGTAAATAAAAGAATCCCAACAACTGCCCTAATTTCATGTATTCAAGAGGCATAAGGAACTGACCAAACAGACGTCTGTCTGCCAAGACCCCCTGAGTAAGGTGGAGCACACTGAGCTCCTACAGAATCTTATTTCTAGAGGCCACAGGTGCAGAGGCTATAAAGATTCAGCAGGACATTTCCTGATGAAGACCCAACTGGGTGGGTGCCACTGACTGGACAGAAGAGAATCACAGGGAAAAGGAAGAAGACCCCTTTGGGGACTGCCTCCCCACCACAGGCTCCTATTAAGGCCTGAACCCTGAAAGCCCTGGGACAGCAGCAGACAGGTAAACTATCCACGGCTGCCCAGAGCTCAGACTTGTGGGCAACGGCACAGACCTTGGGATGTGGACCCGTAAGGTCTGAACCTGACTAGGAAACTTACCATTCATGGAATTCTCAGCTCTTGGTCAAGATCTTGCTTTCCAGCCAAAATTCTTTCTAAATTACTGTCATTAACCACTTGGGCTGATCTGAGGCTCACAGTTCCCATAAATCACTTTGTATTTTAACAGGGAAGAGACCATCTAATGCTATGAATTGTCCACTATACACCGACTAAGGGGCATTAACTTGTGAATCTTAAGAACCCAAAAGATTTCTTAAAAGGAGTAAACCTAAAAAGAACATCAGTCATCACTTAGCACTGTTTTAAAATGTAACAGTTTTAATGGGGTCAAGTCATCCATGAGAGAGGAAGCATCGAAGGCAGATGAAAACCACCTTGTGCACACACAGTGACCTGAGGCCACCACTGTGACCCGAAGGACCCCTGGGGGGGGGCGGTGGAAAAATCACCTACTGAGCCTGTTCCCAAGGAATTAAAGAAGTAGAATCAACAAAGACTCCTTTCATGATCATAAAAGACTCCTTACTGATCATCATAAGGGAAGTGAGAAAGTACTAGAAGTTTTATAGCACTGCCTATCAAATCGGAACTCAAAATATTCTCTTGACAATGTATCTATAGGAAGTCAAGAGTTTAGAAACAAGAGAGTAAGTAACCTTTGAGAGAGAAAAATGTGCATGAGGACCGGTAGTATAAATTTGAGGACCATTCCTTCTCTTAGCTCTCCTCTTAGAACAAGGTACATGCCACCTTGAACCTTAATGAAGCAGTACCTGATGACCTTTGACTATAGGAAGCAGATGTAAAGAGGTGGATGTTTTCTTTAATGTCCATTCCTGGAGAAGCCAATGAGTATAGGGGAGCTTTTAGGCAGAAATAAAATGTAAGGGAGATACAGCTATGTTTAACAAATACCAGTTGTGCTTAGCAACAAGCAAGAGCGGAAACAATGCAATATTATGAAAACCTAGTGTCCAAATAACTTCCTCATCGAGAATGGCAACTACTGGGCAGAAATCATCTAAGCAGAACTACTAGGACCTCATAAGCGTGTCTTATTCTCCAGCTGAATTAGTTGTGCTGCAGCTGAATGTGCAGTAATCAGAATACAGCTCCTCTTTACCCCTAAATATCCACTCTCACTTTTCCTAATCTAATGTTATTCCTTTTTGTACTCCTAAGAGCCACACAACAATGACGTCAGTAAAACACTGGAAATCCCAAGAAGAAATGATTTGTTAAAGGGAGAAGCACTTGCTCCATGGGGGGGGGAATGAATGAAATCGTAGACGTGGCGGGGCTGGAGGGAGCTGGGGGCTCTGTTGCATCCAAGTGTCACAGATAACTGCCAGAGCTGTCTGCTGGTAACTGTTGATTGGTTACTTAGTCAGATTACTTATGACTATAGTTGATGAGAAAAAAATCTTTCTAGGAGTTTCTTAAAATGACTAGGATTTAGGTGTCTGGAAAATTGCTCATGATTTCATAATTTCCAAGAACACCTTCTTAGTGCTTCCTAATGAAAAGATGGGAAATTAAGACAGTGTGCCAATTTAACACCTGAAAGTCCTACCTAAAAGTAAAGCTAGCTACTTACAGACTAAAATAAAGACTAATCCTGGCTGATGTAGCTCAGTGGATTGAGCACCAGCCTGTGAAACAAAGGGTCACCAGTTCGATTCCCAGTCAGGGCACATGCCTGAGATGCAAGCCAGGTCCCCAGCAGGGGGCATGCAAAAGGCAACCACACGTTGATGTTTCTCCCTCTCTCTTTCTCCCTCCCTTCTCCTCTCTCTAAAAATAGATAAATAAAATCTTAAAAAACAAAAAGGACTAGTTACAAATTTCCTTCATCAAAACAGGAGCAATCTACTGATGATTATTACTACACGAGAATCCATACTGCCAATAAACTAAATGAACAAATTCATACTTATTTTCAGATTAAGATACAGAGATTTCTGCACCGGCTGGGTAGCTCAGCTGGTGAGAGCATCATTCCAATACACCAAGGTTGTGGGTTTGATCCCCGGTCAAGGTATATGTTTCTCTCTTGTCCTTGCCTCTCTCTAAAATCAATCAATCAATAAACCTTAAAAAAAAAAAGAAGAAGATACAGAGATTTCTAAGAATAATTTAAGAAAAAAAGCCAAAGTTGTTAGGAAGTTAGAACCTTCAATGAATAGAAAGTTGTCTCCAGGGCCAAAGTTGAGAGCTGAAGGAGCATTAATAAGTTTGATTACACTGTTGAAAATAACAAGAAAATGAGACCAGGTCTGAGGGATATAACACCAGGGAAAACCACCAGGCCGTGGGAAACCCCACTACAACCAATGGGAACACAGACATACGGGACGAATTCTTCTGGAGAGGGACCCAGGCAGCGTACATCTGCAGTGGCGCCCAGAGCCCGGCCACAAGGAAGGAACGTATGCCAGGGGCCAATATAGCAATGGATTCTGTGAACTTATGAATCAGCAAATCATCTGATTTTGATGTTCACTGTCAACTGGTCTTTGTAGATGTACTACAGCAGTATAAGTGATCAGTATCACAGCATTTTTAACTAAGAGGGTGAAAGTAATTCCCTGAGCTTGACTTGAGTTTGGCAGGTGACAGCTCTCTTAGAAGAAAAGGCACTCTGCCCCAGAAGCTGGGGCAACAAGACAGGCCTGGGCACTGTGATGATGTTATACTCCTACACCCCCATGAAACTACAGGTCACCAAAGGCACCTAGCAATCTGTCGGCCTCCTTATGAGAACAAAGTGTAGCCTGGTCCCATTAGATCACTTAAGGAAAAACATAATAATCGACTTTTAAAATACTTATTTACTGGGCAGGCGGGGAGGGAATGCTCCTTAGTTGGAGCATTTATAATAAACAATAAATGCTCTAAATAAACAAAAAAAACTAGAAACACAGAATTATCAGAAGGCATATCACAGGAGCATGAAACCCACAAGAACTAGGAAGTGAAAGAAGAAGGCAAGAAAGATCAGCAATACTAAATAAAATAAAGGTGAAAACATGACGGTGAAGAAGAATGTATACGAAAATGGACCAGAATTATATAAAAGAATGGACCGAAAGTGAAGATTCCTGGATCTGGTTATATAACCTTGGACAAGCTACCTAACTATTCAGTTCATATATTCTACAGAGTGGAGATAATATACACCCCGCCTGTCTCATAAGGCTTCTTTGTAGGTCAAATAGGTCAAGTTATGTTAAAACACTTTGAAAATTATAAAACACAACACAAATGTAAGATAATGGTATTATTACTGAATTTGTCCCTCACCTTCCAAAGAACAAATAAGTATATGATAGCTTAATTTTTTCTGTCAATTAACGTCACAGCTACTGTTCCTCCTGTACTCTTAAAAACAAAAGAAAACAAAAAGCTAGCAAAAGAGAAATAAGCCCCATTGCTAGTTTCAATTTTCCAAAGAGAAATTCCTTTACATTGGTTTTCTCTAATAGTCAAGAGATTCAACTAAAAGGCTCTTCCATATTCTTACCTTTTGATGCTTCAGGAGCGAAGGTCCGGAAGGAGAAAATATCAGATATTGGAAAGAAATAGAAGAAAGAAAATGAATCACATGTGGTTTGTTACTGTAGACAGTCACCCAACCGCCTGACCTATTAAAGACTCTGCCCAACCCTTATCAATTATGGATGTAGGTCTGGAGATAGCACCTTAAAGTCGGTGCCAGAATCGGTTCAAGAGCATCATCAGAATGGGCCCAGACTAAGCTCTGTCACTTTAATCTCATATCAAATTATAATGACATAAAATACCTACCTGCAAAAACACTGGGGTGCTGGTGGGGGGGAGACACCAACCTACATGCAACAGTTCTCTTTCCCAAACCCAGCATCCCCCGAATATAAAAATATTGTATTTTCTTCCAAATTGAAACCCCATCTCTTGTCAACCCTCACCCAGGGAAGGTAAAGGAACGGGAAACCCACTGAAAGAATATTCTAAGTCCTACGTTGGCCCTGTGCACCAAAGGGGAAGAGACTCACTCTTGGTCTGGGCAGAGAAGGCATGGGTAAGTTTGGCAAAAAGTTCATTGTTCTCAAAGCGGTCCTCCTTCACCTTCGTCCAGAAGCAGTTCTGGGAAAGGTCCTCAGCAACAAACTGTGGATACAGGCAGGGTGTTAACAGTTACCAAGGTGAGCCCGTACTTTCCACCCGAGAAAACTGATGAAGACGCAGGCGGTGGCTGGCGGTGATGGAATCAGGAGATGATGCTTCCTTCTGTTTGTTGAAGATTATTCAAATTATGCTGCAGATCCTCCTCCTAACCTTAAACCCACTAGTTTTAGAAACATTACCACTTATTTCACATCTTGCTCTACATTACATATTTTCCCATCAATTTGGCTAACTGTACCAAATTCATTCGTTTTCTAATCCCTAACTTGGTTTCTGGAAGCAAAAGGCTGGTGCAGAAACACAGGGGTCTCCAACACAGAGTGGGAACAATACTGTGTCATGGAAACATATCCTGTGTGCAGCTCATTTACCGAAGGGTGGAGGTAGGGGGCTGTATCCATAATCCACAACTTGAAATCAGAAAATTATCAGTACTTTGCAGACTGGTGAAATGACTATTATCAAACTGTGTGTTACCCTGGCACTCACATCCTCAAAGGCCAAAACCACTACTAAGTTAAGTTGAGGTTTCATAGCAGTTTGGACTCAAAGAACTCTCTAAAGTGATGTCTAGTATATAGGAGATGCCTAGTACCTGCTGAATATACATATGCATGAGTGGCACTGAGACAGACAGATGCGAGCCTCAGGAACAGGAAGCCCCACCATGCAGAAAGTACAAAGTAGGAAAGTGAAGTGGTTTCTGAATGGGCACTGATGAAGAAATGGACAGAAATTCTCACCTTGGACCAGTTTGGCCTCCGGAGCTGCACTTCTGGCTTATAAAGCTTCTTTGGGGTTAATCCATATGGCAGAACTGGGGCTGCAGGAACTCCAAATCCGAAAGGAGGAGGTGGAGGCATACCCATTCCTGGTGGAGGTGGAGGAATGCCAGGGCCTCCAGGAAATGGAGGGGGTGGGGGGATTCCGGAACCACCAGGAAGAGGGGGAGGGGGAGGGGGCATTCCTGGTCCTCCAGGCAAGGGAGGAGGTGGGGGGACGCCAGCACCCCCAGGCAAGGGAGGGGGTGGGGGGATGGCAGAATCCCCAGGCAAAGGAGGGGGTGGGGGGATGGCAGAATCCCCAGGCAAAGGGGGAGGTGGGGGGATGGCAGCACCCCCAGGCAAAGGAGGGGGTGGGGGGATGGCAGCACCCCCAGGTAAAGGGGGAGGTGGGGGGATGGCAGCACCCCCAGGCAAAGGAGGGGGTGGGGGGATGGCAACACCCCCAGGCAAAGGAGGGGGAGGTGGTGGAGGAGGAATGGTACCACCCCCAGGCAGAGGAGGTGAGGGTGGAATAACAGTGCCAGAGTCACTAGGTAAAGGTGGGGCAGGGGGAACAGCAGCACTGCTGGGCGGGGCTGCGGCAGCTGCAGCTGAGAGAAAAGCCATTTCTTTCTTGGCATCCTCCAGCTCCTTGGACAGCTTGGCAACCTAGAAACACAACATCAATGAGAGCACACTTCTCACTGAACCTCAGGGACAACTGGGGTTGGAAGGGACTTAAAAAACGACTTAATCCCAACTTCTCATTTTATACATGAAGGCCACGAAAGGAGACAGACATGAAATGACTGGCTTAAAGTCAACCAGCCATTTAGTGACAAGGTGAAATTAAATTCAGGTCTTCATGTTCTTAGTTCAGCATGCTTTTTAAAGGCAACTGCAATATTCCCTGCAAACTCTCCCTTTGATTAGAAAATGCAAAATTGAAGTAAATCAAATATTCCAGGTATATAATATTAACACATGAGCTGCTATGTAAGTAGTTATATGGCCACATACCGTATTTTGCCATGTATAATACGTACATTTTTGCCCAAATTTTTTAGGAAAAATAAGGATGCGTGTTATACACAGGTATAGTGCTATATACCATGAGTATAATAGTTCTGTGCATAATGTGCACAAAACCATGGGTGTGCATTACACACGGAAAAATACGGTATGTGGTCAAATTATCAGATCGCAGATCATCCAACATTTATGACTGCAGAGAGAGGGTGTAAGGATGAATCTGTTCAGAGATGACAAATAGCAAAAAATAAGCAAATATGAGAACAATTTATTTAGTTTCTACTCCTAAATTTATTGGAAGAGTATTATCTTTATTTCTGAGTAGTACTGTGACTTATTCTATTCTTTATGTTCTTCTGTATTTTTCAAATTTTCTATCTTACATATTACTTATCCCCAACACAACACAAAACGAAACAGTAAAAGATTGTTAAAATGCACATGAGGTAAACAGATGACCAATTAGTGGCTGAACCCTCTCGGGAGCAAGGCGACTCCTGCTCTAAGACAGGCTCGCCCCGCGGCTGCTGGTGGCAATCGCAGGTCACTCTGCCTTCCCTGCTCAGACCTCACCTCCCCTGTGAGCTGGGACACCTCTGCTTCCAGGCTCTGCTTCTCTGTGGCAATGTGCTGCTTTTCAGAATCCAGTACATCCTTTTCTCCTTGAAGACCCTGGAGCTTCTGCTCGAAGTCACTTTCCATCTTCTTCATTTCCACCTGTAGCTCATGCCGGGCTGTTAGCTCCAAGTCCAGCTAAAGGAGAAAAGAATCAGGCTCCCAGTAAGCTATCTGGGCAAGAAGGATAGCATTATTCCCCACGATTTACTGCTTTGTGCCAGTCTTGATTTATAGAGATCACTGACCCAGGGAATGCCTGGGAAAAAAGAACACCATGATTCTGACCTGAAAAATCATGGGTAAAGAAGGGGGAAACTAAGGACCATTTTCACAGTTTATTTTTAGAGTTATAATACTTTTAAAAAATAAGATTTTGAAGACATTTAACCAGGACAGCCATGGCGTATAATCACAACCATAAAAGGAGTCTTTAACAATCAGAGAGAAAAAGGAACTCAGACACACTGCTGCTCCTGCTGTTCCAGGGAGAAGAGGCCCGAGCGCGGCTGAGCCTGAGAGCACCCGCCGAGCCGCAGGAGTGCCATCTAAGAACTGCGACTGTGTGCCGAGTGCTTTAAAAATATCTCAGGTGTGCTTTACATGTCAGAAAAATAACAACCTCAGGCAAAGAAAAATACACCTTGATTTTTAAAATTTCTCACACGCACCTTTTTTTCCAGCTCTGTAGCTTTGGCTTCAGATTTCTCTACCTTTGTTTTATCAATCATTTGACCTGAAAAGAAGAGTTAGAAAGTAAAGCTCCCAATCTCTTATTTTCCTCTCTTACTACCTAAGCCCTTCAATATAACTAACTGCAGGGCAGGGAGGTCTTTGGCCCTTTTGTTTATTCTTATTGCCCTTCTTAGTGGTCTGCACCAGATAAAGAAATGGAACTATCAGTTAAATTCAGCATCAAATTTCTGAGTATCCATTAAAGCCACCATGCTGGGTGGCGTGAAGAATGCCTATAAGTCATACTTACGAATCTTGGGGACCAGCAAGAATCCTGGTTTATAGCTGAAGTCCCTTCAAAAGGGGGCATAGTGTGTGAGACCGAGTTAAATTTTTAGAATGGTGTAGAAATAAGTTAAAGGCCTATATATTCTTAACACAGATGCTGGTTAACAACTAAGAAAGGGCCAAAATACAAATACCCGGGGACCAGAAAGAGACCTTCTCTGAAATTTTCACTGATGCAAATGAAAGGTAGAAGCAGTATTTGAAGGAAGCACATAGGAAACTACACTTACCAATCAATCCCTCAATATCAACCTTGAGGCGCCGGCACTTGAAGTCAGGATCAGCCCCGTTCTTGCGCAGAACTATCTGGGAAATACATTCTTCGATCAGCCTATAGTACTGCGGTCTACAATAGAAACAAATCAAGATTATTACAGAAAAGGCGCAATACAGTTTTCAGAAGTATTCGGGATCAAGAAAAGGTAACTGCTCCGACAGTGCAGGGGCCTGAGGACGGGAGTTCTGGAAAGGGCCTTTCCGCACAATGAACAGAGGCACCACTGCCTCGCTGGGAGCCCTTCTTCCACGTCGGCTACCCCGCCTCCTTCAGACGACCAACACTTCGCGGCATCTGCCTCCTAGGGCCAGTCCCTTCCCATCTAAAACCTCAGGCTGATCCTCCGTGTCACAGATAGTACAACTGCTAAATCTCTACTTTCAGGTGAACTGAAAGACCTTTCAACTTACCTCCCTTCGCTGTCTTCTTCTCCCTACACTACCAGACCCTCCAAAAGAGAATGGGCACTTTGCCTTACACACTCTGACCTCTGCCCCAGGGATGCCTTTCAGTTGGATTAGAGACACCAATGACAACTCCCTTTATATCCATGACTAAAAATGAAACCTAATCCTCACCTTTTTTTCCCTTTACAGACAATCTTTGAACTTAAGGGCTTTGCTCTCTCTACTTAGGTTGAAGTTCGAAACATCCCACAGGTATGCCATCTCACCTGGCTTCATAGTCATTTCGGACCAAGAGGAGGTGCTGCAGGATGGACAGAAAGTGTGGCTCTGCCTTCGAATCCTTCACTGTGTTTAAGAGAATCTGGAAGATTTCACTGAAATCAGTGGAAAACAGGAAGAAGCTAAGGAAAGCATATATTTAGATACTATGACAGGTGGCTTGCCCAACTTTCAGGAAAAGTAGCAAGATGCTCTTCTATTCTAACAGCTGTTCTTCCTGTAAATATTGCTCGAAACTTTAAGCTCTATAAACTTCCTTTAGCAGGGGGACCAGTGAATTGGCTTGAAGATCAATCAGTAGACAGAAACTAAAAGATAAATGCCACAAAGTCACTGTGGCAGTATCAACGGGTAACCAAATTACTCCCTCTGCGGGTCTCTGGAATACGTACAAGAAAGCAAAAGATAACCCCACTCCCTGACTTACATGTGTTCTCTAAAAACCAATTATACATCTTAGTAAGCTAAGCTACTGTGTGTTCCAGGAGGTCTAAACTAATTTTGCGGACTGCTTCCATGCTGAACCGCCCTCAGATCACTTTTCCTAACTTCCCTGGTCCATGCTGAGGTCAATAACTTTAACAGCAATTAGAAGACACCTGCCTTATCTACTAAGAAGACATACAGGCTACTGTCAACTGAGTATCTCCTGTCTTGATTGAACCCAGTCAGCAAAAGGATATTCCATCTCCATTCGAATGTCATCCAGCCGTGCCTTCAGGTCGTAGGAGTCTTCCTCCCCTTGCTCATCAAACACAGCCAACTGCACTCTCATGTCTTCATTTTCAAGCTTCCGAAGGTCCTGTCCACAGCAAAACCAGGAGTCAGGGAACCCAGCAATGCTGGCCAAAAACCCAAGCCTTTCAACCTGGTTTTCAAACTGAAAACCAAAGCGACCCCTGGGATGACTGGGCTGTAAGAGCAGGAAGGAATCAGCGAGGCCTTTCTAACGAAGGGCTGCGTCTTACCTGCAACACTTGGTGTAGCCCCAAGCGCATCAGCTCACTTCGGATATGAACTCGGAAGTCAAGTTCTTCAGCTGGGGTGATGAGAGCATTGATCAGCTGCAGGCATCCCACCTAAAAATTTTAAATTCAGCAGCTATGTCAGTGTTAACACCTAGATACCAAGATTCCATTCTCTTTACATGGATTCTGAGGACCCCAAATACAATCTAGAAAATGAGGTACAGGACTACAAAAATGAGCTTCTGCCAGAGCAGTAAGGCCTGGTTTGAGCAGGTCTGGAGAGCACAGAGGTCTAAACAATCTCAAGAATTTGTTCTAGGCCTTGGTTTTATTAACTTGTAAATAAATACCATTCCTTTTTCCCACTTCGTAATGAGAAACAGTTCTTTCTCTGCCTTCTTGGAGAGAAGGATAACCATTTTCCCTTCCTTACAAATTCTGAAATGTAAAATATATTGTTGGGAACCATACCATGTGCTCTCTTAAAAGGCCAAATGAACTTAAGTCTTTCTATGTTGAATTCTACTCTTGGGCCCAGGTTCAGGGGAGGTACATGCCTTGAGTGCAATGGAGGTCCCACTTTTTAGTCCATCCAGCAGTGGCTGAAAACGTTCCACCTCATCCATCTCAGCTCTCTCTGTCATTGCCTCCAAAACCCGTTCATTCCTGCCCAGGAGAAAAGAAGAGAGTTGCACAGGTGCTCTGAAGCAGACAGGTGCAGTGGGAGATTACGCAGAGACGCCGACCGGACAGGAAACTGAACGTGGTCAGTGCTCTCCTCGCCACCCAGAACAGGGGCCAGAATCCGCTGGAAGCTAAGAATCGTCTCTTCAGAAAAATGTGCCTTAAAACTCATCCCAAGACTCCTGTCTGTGGGTACCAAACTAAGACCCCTGCTCAATAAAGTATAAATTGGTACAGTTTCTAGAGGGGCATTTAACAATAGCAATTTTGAATGCAAATAATATTTGGCCTACTTCTAGAAATCTATCAAACATAAATTCATAAATGTGAAAGAATGTATGTACAAGCATATCCATTATGGCAACATATGTAAAAGTTTAAATTCTTGTTACCTACAGCAAGAGCCACATATGCTTTTTTTTACAGTCTACCTAAAAGTCTAGCAGTGAAAGAAATGTTAAATAAATTATGGGATATACCGTATTTTTCGAACTATAAGATGCACTTCCCCCCAAATTTGGGAGGACAGTGGATGCTTCTTACAGTCCGAATGTAGCTTGCCTGGCTCACTGGGAAGGGGCTGGCGGTGGTGGAGCGGAGTCACAGGTTATTGAATATTTCATCACATTTTTTTGCTTCAAAAGTTTTCTCCTATTTTCCTCTAAACCCTAGGTGCGTCTTAAAGTCTGATGCATCTTATAGTCCTAAAAATACAGTAATACTAGAAAACGCTAAATAGCGACTAAAGATATCTATAAATGTTGACACAGAAGGATGCCCAAGATCTACTGTTAAAAGAAACTGAAAAGCATAAATGGTATGATTTAGCTTTTGTTAGACCCCTCTGCAAGAATAAAAATATACCCTGTGAGTGGTTGCATACACATGAGGCATCTTTCCCTAGTTCTGGAATACTACCTCTTAGAATCTAGGAAATGCAATATATTTGTCTGTGCTAGAAAAAGATCTATGAGACAGTACCAAGCCATTAACAGTAATTAACTCTGCAGAACAGGATTTGCCAAAGGCACAAGGCTGTTAAATTTTACTTTATATAATCCTGTATTATTTGCATTTTAAAAACAATGTTGTGTTGCTTCTAAATATTTTTTTTTAAATGGAAAGATTGTTAGCTCCCATCACCTAAAAATCTTTCTTAAATGTAAGATTCAGTGTTCACAACTGGGAAAGAATACAGTCTTACTTAGTATTTAAGACCAAGTGGCCACCCGAGAAACTCTTTTCCTCCAGACTAGGGAAGACAGTAAAAAGAGAATGGAGGAGGGGGATAATCCCAGTCACACACATGTCCTCCGGCTGTGGCAGGATACAAAGAGCAGAAAGCAGCTTGGCCGCATCGATCATCATGTTGGGAACAGCAGGGTCCATGGCCCTGACCAGCAGCAGGATTCCTTCTTCCGTCTCTAACATGGTCTTGATTCCAAACTGGCAGGATAAGAACAGAGAAGGTAGGCTTAAAGACGACAGCATCAACCCCCAGGCAAGGCTAGGAGTCATTATGGGTTAAACAGTATTTCCCCCCCAAATTCATACATGGAAGTTTTAACTCCCAGCACCTCAGAATGCAACCTTATTTGGACATAGGGTCACTGGCAAATGTAATTAGTTGTTACAAGGTCACACTGGAGTAGGGTGGGTCCTTAATCCAATGACTGCTGTCCTTATGAAAAAGGGAAATGTGGACATAGACACAGAAGATGCCATGTGAGCACACAGGCAAACACTGGGGTGCCGCATCCACAAGTCAAGGAAAGCCTAAGAGTGCCAGCAGGCCGCCAGCAGCTGGAGCGAGGCAAGAAGCACACACTCCCTCAGGTTCGAAAGGAACCAACCCTACCAACCCTGCTAGCACTCGATCTTGGACGTCTAGCCTCCAAAAATGTGGGACAACACATTTCCATTGAAGACACCCAATTTATAGTACTCTATTACTGTAGCCCTAACAAACTAACATACGGTAAAATACTTTTCCCAAAAGAGTGAAACAGAAATGAGCATAGGGAAATACTTTGCTAGTAGATAACATAACAGAATTCTATGTCTTCCAAGAGTTAGAAATCTTGGATTTTTATGTTTCTTTTTAATGCCCCCCCAACCCAATGAAATAAGTTAATTATAACACAATTAGACAGTGAGGAAGATAAATTTGCATCAAGGAACAAATAATCATGGGCTCCCTGGGCTTAAATACTTAAAAAACAAACAAACAAACAAACAAACAAAAAACTTTCTATAGTATGACCGAAAAAAAAAACAAAAAACCCTCAGACATAAACCTTTCAATAACAGTAACTGCAAGTCAGGAAATTCAAGAATTAGACTTAGAAACTATAAAAAGAGAAAGAAAATTGAGCCTACCCTCTGAAACAGACATTACAACTGGGGAAGGGGTCTAGAGAAGCATGTACATGTGGCAATAAAAAAGTTACAGTACTAAAAGGGAAAGCTGAAAGTCTTGAACCTCATACCCCTAAGTCCTGTTTGGAGTTTGCCGATAGAAGAGAAAGAATAGGGGGTCACGATGGGGGGTTGGCAGGAAAACCGGAAAAGTCTTACCTTGTTATTCATAAAAGCTTTCAGGCAGCGAATGATCTCATGCTGGTTACGGCTATCATAGCTCCTGCATGCAGAAGACACAGTCACTGAAGTCCCTTTATTCTACACCCCTCTCCCATCTGACTTCTCAGTCTTGCAAACAAGGGTCTCAGGAATATCCCCAACCAGTACTGAGTAAACTCTAGCCCGAAGCCACTGTCCTAAAACACTGGCCAAAACAGGTAGCGGAAGAGGGATCACCACTATAGACGACCTTGGTTAATCCTCTCAAAATCCAAGATTCAGTATTACATAAAAATCTTCCCACTCATTCCCTCTAGGCTCCTAAGTGCTAAATTCTGTCAGCATAACATTGCATCTATGACTGCCTTCCTTATTACTTCAAAGGTTTGAAGTCTATACACTCAGGAGGTACAGGCCCTGTGTTTTATTTTGGAAAAATTACAGAAAGTAAAGAAGTTGCTTTGGGTCAGGCTGGCTTTGAGGTAAGCTAAGATAGTCCAAGGTACACCAAGAATTAGTCTAACTCTGATGACTGTCATAAAGCTACTTCCAAAATGATGAAGTATAAGACTTCCACATGAGTTCTGACCCAGATCAGATCACAGGAGAGCGCTGGACTAAATCAGACCCTATTTCCCGGTTAGATAAGGACCTAGGCCGAGAGTCATAATCTTATGTGGTATATACAGCCTGTGTTATTCATCATAAAATTGAAGTTCCTTCTCCCTTTCCTGAATTCAGAATCATCACTCATCCTCAAGTCACCCGCGCAATAAACTCTGTTTTTGGCTAACAGCATATTCCCCTAGTCCATAACTTTACGTTTAACGGCTACCTTCTCCTTTAGAGCAAACAGCCAAGCCCCCTACAAGATGTCAAAACTTGAAAGCCCTTACCCAGGAGTCTCCTCCTTCTCATCATGGAGTCGTTTGAGGATGTCCAACAAGGAGGCCAGGCCCTCTGCCCCAAATGTTTGCACCCAGCTGCAAGGAACAGACACAGACAACACAATATTAAACCAAATCAATGAATTCATCTGCACAAAAGCAAAGTTCATCCTGGCAGCTCCTTACTCCCTACCCAGAACATTCTCCTTCAATCTCCAATCTCTACCGATGAACTCCAACCCTGGGCTCTTACTCCTGGCACCACCTCAGGAGCCTCACCTGACGGGGTTGTTGTTGAGGGAGACACGAAGGGACTCCAGGCAGTTGAGCAGAGCCACGTCCCGCAAGCCTGACTTCAGTTCCTGAATGTACACCATGGGAGACCGAGAGCTCTCCTTCTGGCTCATGCCCTGAACAGGAGCATATGGACAGGTTAGTGAATCCTGGACCCAGTCATAAGTTGGACTAGTATTAGTCAATACAGTTTAAATAATATCAAGGCAGATACCCATCACACACACCACCCAACTATGTGGGACTCAAAATTTCCCATCTCATTCCCATACATACTTCATGAAAACTGGATCAAACAGAAAGTATGAGAAAATGATACCAAAGTGAAAAGTATAAAATGAGTTGGCTTATATAGCAGAATGAAACAGAACTGATGTAGACATAAAGTGTTCTATGAAATTGGGAAAACAAACAGGTCCAAGATCAGGGCAGCCTCCCAAGTCATGGCCACCTGCCCCCAAACTCACAGCCTTGGACGTGTGCAAGTACTGGGACAACATCTCCCTCTTGATGATAATGTCCTTCTCCCGCAGAGGCTGCTGTTTCTCCTCATTCAGGTTCATGTCCACCTAGTAGAGGGAGGAAGAAAGGGAAATATAAAATTGCCTTGACTTCCTCACAAGTTTTTAGCGTTTAATGTTTTGTATACCTAGTGAAGAGCTGAACACATAAATCTAATTGAATTAATGTCCCTGATCCTGAGAGATTTAAGCTATTACAGATGATACAGATTCCTCAAGGACAAATGTGGTGAACATTTTAGTATAAATCCTTGTAGACGTTTTTACACACATACACTTAACTTTTTTCCTAACAAAAATGGACTCAATGTAAATGAAGACTGTATTTTGTATTATTGAAAGAAAATCTCATGTGATGATTTCTGAACTTAGGATGGACCTTAATAATCTCTTCAGACTGAAGTGCTGAGTGACTGACATCATCCTAAAACCAGCAAAACCCACACCAGCAAAATCTGCAGCATCTAGGGCCTAACACCCATTTCCCTCGTTTAACTCAGTCCCTGTACAAACTCCTTCCCCATGAAGAAAGAACTGGAAACTGTGCTGAAGTCCCTCAACAGACATAACCTGGAGTGTGTTACTGGGGAAGGGGTCTACTTGAGCTTATTACTTGTATAACCATGTGTGTGAGCCCAGTGTCTCAGCAAGCACACGTTTAACCCGAAAAAATCTAGAACAGTATTTAAAATGAGGAAAGCGTAGGGGGAAAATGGGTATAATCTATTTCTTCTTGGTGTGTTTTGTGTGTATGTGTGCATGTGGTGTGTAGGAATCACTGCCCCCAAGTAGCAATATTAATTTGATGTCTTTCCCCTCATTTCACAGGTGAATTGAACAAACAATTGCTAACTGCCGGCCCTCTGGTTGGATCACCCAAAGAGAAAGTATGTTTTGCTTGGCTAGCTCAATATTTTAAATTTGGGAAACTTCAGATAAAAAGTTGGACTTCTAGTATCAAGGGATGTAATCATCAAATTTCACATTGTGGAATACTCTACAAATCAAAATGTTTTTATAGGAAAACCTGTAGATTAAACAAAACTTAAGGGACTATTAGGTACAATAAATCTCATAGTGATAGGAATAAAAAATTACTTTAAAAAAATCTAATTGGGGAAATCTGAATGTTGGCTATGATATTTGATGCTATTAAAGAATTATTATGTTTTTTTTAATTACAGATTTTGGCTTCTTTTGAAAAATAGAAATATCTGGCACTACTGGGCTAGTATTCCCAAACAGAATGTTACAAAAACCCATCAAAAGTAACAAAAATGCCAAAAGCCTTTCTTCATTTTACCACAGTCCCCATTTTTATTATCTTCTTTCTATCTAGTCTGTTTAATTTATTTCTGCTACCTCTGTGGCCCTAAAGACATCTAAATTTGTAATCCAATGCCAAGGGATTATCTTGATAGAGCACACTCTTAGACTCTTAATACACCTGGATTACTGAAAGACAAATTAAAATCTTCAGTGAAAAATAGTAAAAGTAATATTGGTTGACTGCTAACTATGTACCAGGTCCTGTCTTAAGGATTCTAAGCCCATGATTTTAATTAAGTGAGGCTTGCACTAGCCCCTATTTGAACCTGCAATCATATATCCGGGCAATATACAAGTCTTATGAAACCTTATAAACATGTACTCCAAAGTTTCCAAGATTTATCACTAATAGACGTTCACTGTGTCCTCCTCACTAAGAACAGCAAAGTAAGCCACGTCCATATACACATCATTACTCAACTGACCTTAGCCACAATCTTTAAAGGTCTTCTAGTAATTATAGATAGCATCAGAAGACCTTGAGCAAATGACGCCTTTCCATTCCTCAGTCTCTTCTTTGTGACTGTTTTAACACTTTATCAACTCTGGCTAACCCAAAGTCTCTACACTACCACAGGTGTTGATCCACTCACCATATGTCCTTGTGGCTAAAATGTTGCTGGGCAGAAGGACATTAACAAGGTGGTCAGTGATCAGACATTTCTAAGCCTAACTCATAGATTCCAATCTTATGTGCTGGTGCTTATGCATTTAGTCTCTTTGTTAATGGGACTGCTAATTAGAAGTTCCCTGTTAAGTCTGGAACTCTTTGTAATTACGGACTAGTTATAGGGACTGTGCACAGAAAGGTCCCCCCACGTCCATAAATGCATAATCAGAAAGAAACATGCCCTGGCTGGTATGGCTCAGGTAAAATGTTTTTATAGGAAAACCTGTAGATTAAACAAAACTTAAGGGACTATTAGGTACAATAAATCTCATATGCAATTGTGATAGGAATAAAAAATTACTTAAAAAAAATCTAATTGGGGAAATCTGAATGTTGGCTATGATATTTGATGCTATTAAAGAATTATTATGTTTCTTTCTGATTATGCATTTATGGACGTGGGGGGACCTTTCTGTGCACAGTCCCTATAACTAGTCCGTAATTACAAAGAGTTCCAGACTTAACAGGGAACTTCTAATTAGCAGTCCCATTAACAAAGAGACTAAATGCATAAGCACCAGCACATAAGATTGAGCGCCGGCCTACAAAACAGGGAGTTACTGGTTTGATTCCCAGTCAGGACACGTGCCTGGGTTGTGGGCCGGGTCCGCAGTAGGGAGTGCATGAGAAGCTGCCACACACTGATGTTTCTCTCCCTTTCCTTTTCCCTCCCTTCTCTACTCTCTAAAAATAAATAAATAAAATCTTTAAAAAGAAAGAAACAAACAACACTTTGGGGTGGGAAACTTACCAGCATCTGTTCAAAGAGTACTAAAACTTGCTCATCTGAAATATCTTGCAATGAATGTGCTGTGGGATCATCCCCATACAATGCAGAATTTCTATGAGCAGAATTGGCCTTCTCCTTCTCCTTCTTAATTCTCATGCTGGTAAATCTCTCCAGCTGAGAAAGAGAAAACAATATTAGCAGCAATCCATCTTCCTATGCACAACAAACCACCCATCAAATAGCCAACCTCTAACCCCTCATACATGCAGGATTCCTCGGGTTCGTGGGCAGTCCAAGACTCTTCTGACATGAAAAGAAGAAACCAGTCTTCTTCATATCTAATTTAGTATCCTGACCCTTTACTCTAATCTTTATCCAAAAATAAAAAGACTGAAGTATTAAGATTTGGACCTCTCTAAAAAGAGAAAACTTTGTTCTTGAACTTCCCTGCCACTTCTAGGAGTGCAGAACTGAAAGCATCTCATGTGCTGAGCTATCCCAATAAAATGCCCTCTGTCTCCCCCAGCTATCCAATCAGAAATCTGGCCATGCCCTCGGAGGATCCGGCCCTTTAAGAGGTAAATATGACCACAAGTTATAATAGATATAAATCATGGAAAGTAAGTATGTAAATGCCTTAAAATCAGAAACGATTCCTTCTCTTTTCTTCTGTACATGCCATAGCACTTGTGTTAGTAGGCAGCAAGAGCTCAGTACATATTCTTCAAAATGCCCTTTGCAAAGAATGCAATGTTCTTCAGGGGTATATATGCCATCTCTGCCAACAAAATGCCCATGAACCACTCCTCAAACCTCCAGTAGAGATGTTCAAATCAAAAAGAGCCACTGATAAGCTGCCGCTTATCAGCTCTACCTGTTTGAAAATAACAGTAAATATCTGCAAGCATTATAGAGCTTCAAGTGATATGAGTAGCATCCAGACTGCAGGTCAGCTTGGAGTTGAAAGAAAGTGCTTAACCTTGAAAGCCAATGACTGTGCCAGGGAAATGCATGCAATGAGCCAAACGTAGAGCAAAGAGTTAGGAAAAAGCTTTGAGATGATCTGAGAACAGAATCTATACCACCAAGTTATATAAAATCAGAGTTTTAGGAAATAGTGAACCTCATGGTATAGAAAAGGAGCTAGAACATGCACATGCTGAACAACATGTCCTTACCTCATCTGCCATGAGCCGCTTCAGAGTCTAGGAAACAGGAAAAAGGAGGGAGAAGGAAGAGATGAGAGATCAGTGAAATGCCAGGAAACCTCCCAAACACCAGATGGGTTGGGAAGAGAAGGGAAAATGAGCCGAAAAGATCTAAGTTACTTTTCACGAGCTAAAAGATTTCTGCCAAACTATTCCTTAGCACATTTCTTAAGTCAGGGGCAAGAAGAGTTTTAAGGTCACTAACATATAGCTCTTTGAAGGAAAAAAAAATTAAGATCTGAAAGGACTCTGAATCCAATGACCAATAAACTTATGAAACATGCTCAGCTTTACTGGTAAACGAGGAGACGCAAACTAAAACCACAGCGAGGTATCGCTCGCGCTCGCCAGGACTGGCAGGAGTTTTCATGTCTGCCTAGTCGCAGAGTGGCAGTAGCTCTCACAGTGTTGGTGGTGATGTAAATTGCTATGGCCACTTTGCAAACTTTATTTAGTAAAGTTAATATACCACAGCTCAACAGATTGATTTTTATACATCTATCCTGCAGAAACTTGCACATATGTAGTGGGATGGGTGTAACTAGAATGCTCACAGCAACACTACACTGTCTGAAACAGAACCATCCTAACAGCCATCAAGAGCAGAATGGATACACTGGTGTATTGGTACAGTGGAGACATTTTAATTATACAAAGAAAGTAAATGAACTTACAGCTACTCAAACATACAAATGAACGTATTACTTAATTTACAGTGAGTTTAAAAACATGTAAAACTAAATTATATTATTTAGGATATAAAATTAATAAAAAAGGAATAATTACCACAGATGTCAACCCTGTGGTCACTTGGGGTGGGTGAACAGTTGTGACTGCGAAAAGAAATGAGAAGGCTTCTGGGATGCTTAGAATATTCTATTTCTTGCCACAGATGGTGGTTACCTGGGTGTTTGGTTTATAATTATTCAGTGTGTTTTATGTTCTCTTCTGTATACATGTTCTACTTTACTAAGAAAGAAAAGTCTGAATGAGCAGATATAGGAAAGCAGGACTTCTTTTTCACCCTAACACTTCATTTTGAAGCCATATTCTTCTTGCTAATGTCCTGAGAAGAGTATAGTGAATACCTCTTAACCAACCTTCCTCCACTCTGACCCTGACACAAAGCTGTTTTACTAACCTGTAAAACAGGTTAAATCTGAACAAGAAAAAATGAACAAGAAAAAAATGAACAAGAAAAATCTGTATCATTATGTTCTTGTTCCTCATGTCAAAGTTCAGTTAAATCTACTTAAAATGTGAGCCTTAAGTTTTACCTCCATGGTCCAGAGGAGGTCAAGCTCCTGCTGACTGAGTGCTAATCACTTAAAACTGTAAGGTCAGAAACAATAGAAATTCCACTGTTCAGCAGCAATGGGACATAAAGTCACTTGGTGTGCACTGCTTACTGGGAGTGAAGGCAGAAGGGTGACAAGGGAGGGACAGCAACATCCAAGGAGACCAACAGTTCCTTTTATCACCACCCTAAGTCAGCCAGCACAGAGAAGTGACACAAGCCACAGAAAGGATGAGTTCAGTGTGTACAGTTTACGTTCCCATCGCCAAGGTCAAAGTTATTTGCACCTGAACTTCGAACACAAATTGTTCCCTGGGAACCAAGCAAAACCTGCACAATTCTTGGATGCCTGTAACACAGGTAACAGAACCTAAATGTAATGAATCAGCGCCAGCTGGACTGTTCACAGCTGCAAGAAACCCAGTAACCTGTTCTTTCTGCCTACAGACTCTTATTTCTCTTCCATTCTTCCCCACTACTACTACCCAAGTTCATGCCATTATCATCTCCTGCTTGATTTAATGCAACGACCTCCTACCTGAATCCCCTGCCTTCAGTCCCATCTGAACCACACCAAATCCATTCTCCACACTATAGATCCCAGAGTAATCTTTCTAAAATGTCTACTATCCAAGTTATTTCCCCGCTTAAAACTCTTCAATAGCTCCCATAGCCCTTGGGTCAAAATTAGCATGGCATATAACACTCTGGCTTCTTTCCCCTGACTTCTCTCCCAGCAGACCCTCCACTGGGCGACTCCTCTGGGTAACTTGAACTAGCTGCAGCTCACAAACAGATCATACTGTCTCACCACCCCAGACTGTCCCCAGGCTGCGGCTTCCCTCAGCTTAGATTGTGCTTTCAAGGTCAACTCCAAGATGCCCTGCAGGATGACACCTCTTCTCACTGGACGTGTACCGCTCCTGGTGTTTCCACAGTAATAGGTACTTGCCTGTCTCACAGCACTAGAAGCGAGTAAAATCGTCTTTTGATTGTCTGGCTCCTCTATCCCTTTCCAGACTCAATTCCTTCAGGGCAGAGCCTGAGACAGTCATTCCATCTCCTATGAACAAATACCATAATCTGGGGCTGCTTTCCTAAAACAACAATCCGTGGAGAAGCCCTTAAAATCTATTCCTCCTCTTCACTGCGTCAGCGAAAAGACTGAAGCTCAGACAGGTGGAGTAAATCACCACGGTCACATGATTAGAGGCGAAGTGGGTATGGAATTCATCTCCATATTCCAAAGCCCAAAATCTTTGCATTCCCCAAATTCTTGTCTTGTTCCCACTTAATGCCTATTAACGCTTGCCTTTAGATACAAAAGTAAACATGGTTTTATAAGAAGGAATAAGACAGTTTCCCATTGTGCATCATTAAAAACAGATTTAATGCTCTTAAAAAATTACCCATGTTTTAGTGCTAAATTTGAGTTAAGGACAGCAAAAAAGAATCCATACAGGGCAAAAGCTGCACTTCCTCAACTAGTCCAAGAGAGGGCAGCTAACTACCAGCAAAGGGAATCACAGGATAGACAAAATTGTTTCAGAACCCAGAGGACACCGGAACAGTAAACCCAATTCAATCGCTAAAATGGGACCTGTTGCTGTAGTACCTTGAGGGTATATCGTTTATTTATTTACTACTGTGTATTTTCCTTACAGATCCTATGTATACTGTATCCACAAACAGTGTTTAAGAATCATATTATTAGTTGTTTTGTGGATTCTCTGAAATGCAGAATAAGCGGTTCCTAAAGTATGAAAAGCAAAAAAGACCTAAAAATAGTGGACTCCAGGAAGACAAATGCTTCTGGAACTATATTTATGCCTTATGCTTCAGATTTCCAAGCTTTTTAATGAGGTCTCTAGTCATTCCGACCTACCTCTATGTATCTCCACTCTCACCATTGACCTGTTCTCTGTCAATTCTCTTCTGCCCCCAAACCAACCCCTCATTCTCCTAGCCTCTCTGCACTAAATACTTCATCTTCCTGTCCCTCCTATGGAGTTTTCCACTAAAACTGTCACTAAAACCTTTAACTATACATATAAATACCAAAGTATAAATACTGAACAAAACTGTTTAATAGCAAACTCTGCTCACAAGTACAGATAAACAGAAACTTCCAGGTAAAAGATGGTAGGTTGAATCAAAACATCTAATTGCTCCCCTTCTTGAAACCCTTCTAAATGTATAGAAAAAGAATTTTTAGAAAGAAAACAATGACAGCAGGATGGAGACCACAAGATTGGAAAGAATACGAAAAGTGCAACTACAACCAAACTTTGAAGTTTGGAAGTAAGGGGAAGGACTAGCGGCAAACCCAACACAGAAGCTGAGTCCTAAACCAGAAGTAGGGAAAGCCAATAACCAATCCAAAGTATACTCAAGGATCCCCCAAAGGCTCATAAATTAGCAGCACCAGGTATTTATGGAAACAGGGGTTGGAGGGGGTAGGTTAAAAATAAGATTGGCTGAAAGCTGTTTAAGAAGCAGACCTGTAGCTTTTCCGGCCCCTACCCCCACACGCCATTGGGAGACTGTCCTCTCTTACTCCAGCCGAAGTCTGGAAGTCTATTCTTAGAAGAAGGTAAAGCAGAGGGTCTCTAGATTGGGGGATACCAGGCACAGTTGTAGGTAGGGATCCTATACAATAAAGAAAGAAAAACTAAGTTATTAGTCTATCCATACTATATGCGGAGACACCCGGCACCTTCCCCCTTCTAGTTTCTCAAAATCCCAGCAGTCTGGCCCTCACCCTGGAGGCAGCGGGCTGGAAAAGCCTCCTCTGGGGAACTGAAAATGACCTAAAGCTACTGACACAGTCTCGGCAGATCACCCGAGAGTTCTGTGGCCAAACTCACCAAGCAGGCCCTTCTCCTGTGTCTAGTGCAACTGAGGAAGGCCTTTCAAACTTCATTTAATTTTAACAAAATCTAAATTTAAAAACTAATAATTTATTGTTACTGTTAAGTATATTTGGAACACCCTTGGTACTTTTCACTTGTAAATTTTATTAAGTCTAAATACACATCAAGTTTTTAAATGAAAATTTAGTATCCGAGTTGAGGTGTGCTATAAATGTAAGATAAACACTGGAGTACAACTTAATATGAAAACAGAATGTAAAATATCACATTAATTTTGATATTTCCTGTATATTAAAGTAATATTTTAGATATTTTGAATTAAATAAACTGTACTGTTAAAATTAATCTTGCGTTTCTTTTCTGCCTTTTTCTGTAGCTACTGGAAAATATACAAGCACATATGCAATTCACTTCATACTCTAGCGGCCCGGATGCCCTGCAGAAAGCCCATCGCCAATAAGCCGCGGCTACCCAACGCTTCCCATCCAACTTTTAGTCCTTCATTCTTAAACATTAGCAGATAAAGTTCAGGATTATCAGATATTTGAGAAACGCTACTAATATGAGAGGAAAAAGAAAAAGCGACTTAGGTAGATACTAGGCAAGGAGAAGATTTTTAAAAATCATTAATATCCACAAAAGAAAACATAATACCATTTTAAAAACAAACATTTGGAGGAAAAAGAACTCTTAGAAGATGAAAATATGAGAACAGAAACTCAAGAAAAAGCTCAATAGAAGGGCATGAAGAAAGAACTAAGGAATCTCCTAAAAAGTAGAACAAGAAGACAGAGATGGAAAAATGAGAGAAAAGACAATTCATTGGA